ACTTATTGTGTTACATTGGACAATACACTTGTTGTACAAAGCACGGCATTGAAAATAAGTTCAATGCAATAACATGCCCAAATGGTCATAATGACAATGATGATTATGATGATGATGAACTACCTCAACGATTGCTACCAGAATTCAGTAAATCTTATGATACATTCAGCAAAAGTGAATAGATATCCGCACACACACACAGACATTAGTTACACTTACATGTATCATAGTATAGGTAGCTCTTTCAAGCAGTGTGTTTTTGATAATACTGTAACATTTTATGCTGTTTTACAGCTTAAGGCTTACATTTTTGTTCACTTCACACCTACTGTCTTAAAAAAGTATATTTGAAAAATCAAAATGTAAAATTAAACTGACAACTAAAATCTATAATAAAACATTGCTAATGAATGATATAATCTGCTCACATTCATATATTATTATTGTATTAGCCGTTTTTGAACAAACCATGGGCTATTTCTAAACAATTGATCCATTTTTGAATGACCATAACTCAAAAAATTTTTATCAAAATCTGTTAAACTTTTATACAGCATAAAGACATCAATATGTATCAGAAAATTTAATTAAAATTTGGGGTAATTTTCAGAGACTTTTTTGGAAAAAACCCTGGGCTATAGCCTTTCGTATTTTTATGATGGCTTCAGTCGGTAGTACAGTACATATTGGTGCCTTTATATCTCATACTGCTCTGTTCCTTCAATTGAGGCAAAGAGCAGCCTCACTCTCTCAACGGGGTGGTAATGCTGATGACCTTGATGTCAGATGGGTTAGTCAAATTGAATCTACAATATTTAACACATGTACATGTATAATAGGTGTACATGTACATGAAGTTGTAACTTGTGCATCTCAAAAAATTTTGTGTATGCCAAAGTAAAATGTACAGTTGAGGACAGCTTATTAATTATTCCTGATCTATATAGTACTTTAATTGCTATGACATTGCAGCTAATACCGGTATAGTGAAACTGCTTTCTGTGGCACCTGTTTATAACAGCAAACTTTTGTAAGCTTTGTTCATTTAGTACAACTTTACTTTCATTGTTAAGTTCACTGGCAAGTTGATTCGTGATGATTCTCCTGCTGTGTATTCTTCTTCATAGTGTATCATCTCTTAATATCAGGATTGATGGAGATAATGGAATTGATTCAAAGGATTATCTTACAAAACAGCCTCAGTCTTCCTGTCAGTCATTGAAGTATGTAGCTGATACTATTAACAACACTGGTAATCTCACAATAGAGATCATCAGTCCTACTCTTAGTCTACAAGGTAGTGTTATATTCACTGATATCAATGGACTAACTATCAATGGACAAGGTACTAGCATTAGCTGTAGGAATGGATCAATACCTTATGGTAACTCTGGCATAGTTTTTGATACATGCAGCAATGTTACACTCATTGATTTTACTATTGAACACTGTGGGTATGAAAATGGACAAAAATATCACGGGCGTCAAAGTGTTCTTTTCTATAATTGCAAGAATTTTAGCATTTCAAAAGTCAATTTCAGTGACAATAATGGTTATGGGCTGGTACTCTATGACAGCAGTGGGAGTATTCAGCATAATATTTTTACAAACAATGGTATAAAACATTCTGATTTTTCAAGAGCTGAGAAATCAAATGCAACAGGAGGAGGTCTACACATACTTCAATATAATTCTTATAATAATACAATTGAAATTGATGCTAATCAGCTTATTAATAATTCTGCTACAACCATTGGTGGTGCATTATATATGGACTTAGGTAGTTGTGTTAACCTATTTTTGACCATCACTGCTTCTAATTTCAGTGGTAATAGGGCGGGTACTGCTGGAGGAGCCATTGGATTTATAGTACATAAAATTAACTGCCATTACAATGGCACCATACCCTTTGGATACCATATTCTTTTGTCTGGTTGCAATATCATTGATAACAAGGCAAAGTTTGGTGGAGGAGTTTCAATCCAAATTGTTCATTATGATGCTCCAGGTGACATTTATAGTAAGAAAAAGGAAATTTCATTTCAGCTTTGTTATTTCACTGGCAACAAAGGTATGGTTAGCTCAGCAGTAGATATCAATGGCAATAGTCAAAAAGTTTATCAGTGTCTTGAAACCTATGTAAGATTTAAATATTGTAATTTCACTGGTAATATTGCAGGGATAAATAACGATCAACAGGAACTTAGAGGTAAACTGATTAAAGCAACATTATATGCTACTGATGCTATTGTTTATTTGGTTATAAAAATTTCCTTTGCCAATAACATTGGTACTGCTTTATATGCAGTGAATAGTC